CCAACCTGCGGGACTCGTTAAGTGTATGCTTTTTTACCCGTCATATACCATTGTTCCATTGTTCCATTGTTTAGGCATATCCCCAATTATGCCTAGCATCTCTTCCTGCAAGTGCCATGGTACCCGACTGGCCGCTAGGTAAATAAGTTGTGCCCTACCCGTATCAATTCCACCAATTTAGAAACCATTAATAAGAATGTAACGAAGACACAGAGTTTTGATGTGCGTAACCACCATGCCCAACCGCTCCACAACACTTTCTGAAATCCTGGACCTAAGACTTGTTAATTGGGGATTTCTTCGCTGTAGCTTCCAAACTAGCTAGTCCTCAAAATGCATGGAAAATTACTAAAAAGCCGTTTTTAGCTATTGAGTCACGTCTGTTGTGCGCATTTGTCAGCCCCATAAGGACCTGAACCCATGTCCTCTAGCGGCTTGCATCACCAGCCAACAGCTTATACCACTGAGTCATGAGGGACAGCGGTGGAGTGTCACGATTTACAATCTGGCTGTGACGTAACGCTTCTCATCCTCCACTTCCATACAGGTTACGAACCTTACAGTGGGCTGGGTTGGCATTGCGAAACATTTGCACTAGTATTAGCAATGTACGAATGGAAGTTTAGAACCTCTTTGGGTAGATATGTTGATATACGCAAAAGTAGGGGATTTTGACGTACATAGTTGGTGCTGTCGTCGCAGTAACATCCATATCAGATGGTTACGCTCAGCAAAACGGTAGACGACCGTTCTGACCTGTTGGATCTTATCAGTAGTATAGACTGAGGCGACGCCTACGCAGACCGTTATGATCGGTCAACTTAGCCTGAAACCTTCACAATCATCGGTACTGCTGTCGTGAGACTGTCGAGTCACTCGGCCAGATGGAATGGACTATGTCAACCGAGTTCATTGAATCCTGTCATCCTTTCCACCGTTGCAACAAAACTTATGCCTGGATTGCTAAATGCACGCACAGCTATCCCATGCAACAGAAGGACCAAGATGTTATCCACACAGCCCACGGTTACTTCAGTAGACAGATTTCCATATATCACCGGCACGAAGTCAGGAACTGCTGGATATCTCTGCGTAATGAGACTGAACAAGGATGAAACGCATCGTGGAGTGCAGTGATGGGGAAGAGCAAACCCGAAAACCTCCACTTCAGATATCGTCCCAATGATAAGAATGACACAGGCTGACTTCAAAGTCAACCAGAGGCACAACCGAGCTTGCGTGTCGCAATCCAAGACACACCTGGCACTCCAGAACCCGACTGTCAACTTCCAACCGCTGTGTCAAGCTCTGATGGCGGAGCTCATTTGTCTAGTGATCATGATGATAGCAACTAAACACCGCGTGTCGAGTTCCACTCCCGGATCAGGGTAGCAGTACTTATTAAGTGGGAGCAAGGACAAACACGTCGTGGAGTGCTGTGATGACATAACCCAACACCGAAACCATCTAGTGGACTGGTCCCTTCACTGCTTTCAGGAGAAAGATCAGGTGTAGTCCCTAAAAATACTGCAACGGTGTTGCGGCGAAATCAGTAGGATGCTTGTTGAGTGTCATGGAAGATCGTAGAAAGTAAAAGTCACGATTAAATTTCACACACAATAATGTGCCTCGACGGGGAATCGAACCCCGGTCCACGAATTTCCGGTCCGCTGCTCTAGGACTGACTTCTACTTTCTATGTACTTTGCACTGCTCACAAACATGCACAATTAGTCTACCATCGCCCTTTGGACATCCGAAGGACAGATACTTCGGTCCATTGGGAAGTGACAGGTGAGTGAGCCAATCTGCAACACCAGGACAGATACTGTTAGCTCATTGGCAATATGTCGCGCACCAAGCAGAAGTCATGTATTAAAAATTGCGTGCCTAATCGTCAGCCTTCGGTAGCTCAGTGGTAGAGCAGCGGGCCGGAAATTCGTGGGATCGGGGTTCGATTTCCCGTCGAGGCACATTATTGTGTGTGAAATTTAATCGTGACTTCTACTTTCTACGAACTTTACACTACTCACAAACATTCACAATTAATGTCATGGAAGGATCAAAAATAGTATGGAATTCCCTCCTGAAAGCATACCATAGACTACGATAAATATGGATGTTGAACCTACGGAAAACCAAATGAAATAATCCAATGCAGCGGAAATCCAAGATGTCTCACGAATTAGAACTAGAATTGGAACCAAAGCGTCGCTTAGAGACCATTAAGCGCAAAATATCACGCATAGACTCACACATCATCAAACACCGAAAAGTTGCTGGCACATTATATCAAGCGCATTGATTCTATCCAGATACCTTAGGAGGTATATTTGCCTTGTCCTGAATTACTGTAACACGCTTGTTCGAGTTCGTGCGCAATTTTACAAACACAACACAAATCTTATCCCTGTTGTAATGAAGCGTGCAAGCTGAGGGACGAGACTGGTTTATGGGACGAAGAAAGCGGGTAGACTGCCGTAAACGAAGAATGCAGATGAATGGACTTCAAAGCGTTGCCTCGTCTACGCTGATGGGTTAGCATTTAGCTGCGCTAGAGTGCGTTTATTTAAACGAAGCAAAGGGATAATCTCATGGAAACAGAAACGTCCTTAGTTATGGTAGCGGCTATGTTATATACATCAAGACTTTCGACATAGCAATTGATCTGTTGAATAAATCATTTGCTCTTGAAAGACCGAGTTCTTTGATACCAATGAACTCCCACTGGTCAACCCTTTTGCATGGGTCAACCGTTACACCCTTCGTTCTTTGAGTATTTTTAAATAATTTATTTTTTTCATTTTAAACCCTTAGATCTCTCCTACATGTTTCGGGACACTTGGATTGAGTTTATTTTCTCAAATATGTTCAAAAAACCTGGTTAACTCGGACACATGCTGATGTAGTTTCGGAGGTAGAGGACGCCCAGTAGAAATCCCTTCTTACTAGGACGATTCCGGCTTTATCATAAACCAAAAATTAATTGTATTTTTGTGGTTTCTTGGAAAACTTCAACATGCATGCTCTTGAACAGATCAGTGGATGTTAACTTTTTAGCTCCTACACTTGAAAATCGCCATAGTGTATTTTTACTGATCTATTGATTCAGCAAGATGTAAGGCGCTACCATCATCCCTACTACAGCTGTCTGTATGTCAATTCATCCGTAACTTAATATCTTCAGCTAAATAGGACACCATATGTCACTTGTCGAGTTAGATCGATTACACGCAGCGTCAACCCACATTTGGACTTGTGCAGGAGGCGATTCACACGCGACAAGAACAGGTCGGCTTGTTTTCACGAGACCGAACATTGGCGGCAGGCAAGTCTGCTATCCAAGGGTTGCGATCTCAGTGAATTCTCTCACTTACATGCACACGCATGTTCCCCATCACAAATAGCCACCAGAATTTCATCGCCCACACCCATGTGGTGTCCCTTATTGTCTGTCCGCTCATGCGTACCGACCATGACTTTACTAGCTTGTGCTGGCTTCATTTCAATACCACTTCTTAGGTAATGGTAAACCACAAGATCAAATGGCAGTCAACAGTGAGAGGATGGTAATTCGGGAATGTGAAAGCCATCCGTTTAAAAAGTTTGCTGTTCATTCTTCAGTGAAAATCATCAGTAATGGAAGTGTGATGAAAATTAACGCAAATTGTGAGTAAGGAAATTGCAGATAGCGCCAAATGAAGCGACGAAACCTGACATTTGAAATACCAATTCCCGGTAACTTTTAATCCTAAACTCAACTGAGTTGATAGATAAGATTCCCACTCGGTTAACTATCATAGCGAGCTACGCAAAATGACAGGGCTATGGATCTTAATCAAGCTTCTTACCCAAACATCCCCATTATCGCAATCACATGCGTTACAGCGCAGATCAACCTACCATAAGCTCCTCTGACCGATAACATACCGCCAGTGCTAAACACAATAGAGCTCGGTGGATCGAAATAGGGCGAAATGGGGTCTCCAACACTTTCCGGAGGAGCGGTTGCTGTCTGGTTCTCCGTGATTGTGACAGGCCTCGTTAACGGTCAGGACAACGCATACTGCTAGCTGATCAACAATGACTTACAGCTAACAAATCGAATTCGTAGAATCAGCAACCGCACGTGGGATTCATTTTGAAGCGTCCCACAATCGAATGAAGTGTTCGTCAGGTTTACTGGGCTTGTGGGGATAACCCTCGATTCTAGCGGCTCGTATGTCACGTTTCTTAGCATTCACAATGTATCTCCCTGATCTTTCCTGAACTTTAACCATTCTCCTTTTTACAGATTATTATCAATGGGTCCCACTGGTTCTGGGACTTCAGTGTGTCTTGTTCTACCTGCCTCGTTTAGCTTGGAAGTCGGTCAGCTTCAATCGATTGGGCTGCGATTTACATCAACTCATGTGTAAAGCCAACCAGGCAATCCGAGCCGACTCGGTGGAGATACGTGAGAAGACGATTGCGCAGGTGGCCCGCTCTTTGGAATTGCTTTTGTTCGCTCATCGTGATTACCGACGGGGAGTGACTGCCACTGTTCGACGTCGTTTATTCCAACGGATGAGCTTTTTCTTCGTTAGCAAACGTCTCGGCACCTGGATGGTCTTCGCCTACTTATGTATAAAGCTTGCATATTTAGCGAACACTTTTATTCAATTGCACATAATGAGTATGTTACTGAGCTATGATCACACAATGTTTCAATTTGGTTTTAAGCTGTTGCACAATTTGATTTATGAAAGCGACTGGACGGAGACACTATATTTTCCTCGAAAGGCTTTCTGTCCTATCAGCGTCAGGCATCTGGGTTCAAGACAAAATGTATACCTTGGTATTTGTGCATTACCAATCAATATGTTCAACGAAAAGATTTACATATTTCTCTATATTTGGATCTCATTGGTGATGGGCATCACGATGCTCAGCATTCTGGTCTGGTCAATTAGGTTGGGACCGAAAACGCGGCGCAGGGCTGCTGTTTTCAGACACTTACGAATGCACTCATCAGGAGTTTTTGGGGTCACTGGGACAGAATCTTCCGATGAAAAGTTTAACTCCAACCAAAATACAGTCGATCCCAAGCTACGAAAGCGTATGAAGGCATTCGTTGACAACTATCTTCGTGTAGATGGTGTTTTCATGATCCACATGCTAACAGTTAACTTCGGCGATGTGGTGACGGCTGAGATTGTTGGACTTCTATGGTACTCCTGGATACGCTGCTATTCTGGACATTCCGAATGGAACCTACTAAATGATAATACCTCAGACGATGAGTTCAATGTTGATGCAGTACCCAAGAGCAACGAGCAAATGTCCAATGGCCTTCCATTGACGAACTCTGATTTGGAAGTAACCAAGCGTTTGATAGAGCCGCCAATTGCTGAACACAACTTCGTTAACCGTGCATCATAACAAGGCTCTAACGTATGAAGTGGTTGGATTGATTCGTAATGCTTGTAAATAGCAAAATGTTGCTTTTGTGATGGAATGTTTCTTTTATTGTCTGTGTTAATGGGGGCACTTACCTCTGCGTCTTTGATATGCGGAAGATCGCGTGAGGTAAACAGCGTGCCTGTAGATATTGGGATCATTTTGTTTCAAGCAGAACAGTGCACAAAACTAGTTTTTGGAGTAAAGCTGTAACAGTTATTTATATACAAGTGAGTAAAGAATTTTTGATTTAGTTAGAGGAGAGGTTGTCGTACCAGTTTCCAAATCAGATAGTTGTTCGCATGCCTGGAAAAGCACTAGACTGTAGTAGAATTAGCTATTGACTAGTGATACAGGCTGTGTTGGTCATGGGTTCGAATCCTAATGCTTCCGGTGAATGCGCACTACTGGTGATGCCAAACAAACATCTAGTGGTTTTCGTTTTGTATCGTGCTTTTCCACTTCTTGAAGGGAACTAAGTACTGACCTTACCAATTACCTTCCAATAACACTACTTCCTGCATGATCCAAAGTGATGGAATCAATTATCGCAGATGGGCTGATGCAGTATCTGGAAAGCCATAACTTAACAGCTTCAGAGCAACATGGCTTTCGTCAAAAGCATTCGTGTAATACTAACCTATTAATTGCACGTAACACATTAACTGAAGCAGTTGATGATGGAGCAGGACTCGATGTCATCTGCCTGGATTTCTCAAAAGCATTTGATCGCTTAGACCATCGGGTTCTTCTTCAGAAGCGTCGGAACTACGGCATTGGCGACCTAATCCTGAGTTGGATTAGTACTTTTCTACACTAACGACAGTTAGAGGCGAGAGTCCGAGAATCATTGTTCGAAGCAATTGATTTAGTGTGTGGTGTACCACAAGGCGCGGTGTTTGCACCTCTTCTATTCTTGGTGTCTATTAACGAATTGGCAAGATCAGTTGCTTCTGATTTCATATTTTTCTCTGATGATTTCAAGATATGGCAAAGGAGCAGAGGACCGGCTGACCACGAACGGCTCCAGTGCGATCTTAAAACTTCGTCGAACTGGTCAGTACAACGTAGACAAATGTCACGTTGTGCAATTACGCCATAGACATAACAACACATATTTGCTTGGGATCAACGAATTGCAGACCAGTTCCTAGGAATGTGACCTGGGTGTGACCGTACAGAGCTACCTCAACTGCTTAAAACAGGCTGCGGTAGCTGCAAAAAGAGGCAACCAGCACGTCGGCATGCTGCGAACAGCTTCGGGAGATTCGACCAGTCAGTCTTCCCAATGATGAACACTTCCTACGTGCGCTCGAACCTTGAATACTCTATCCAAGCTTGGCAACCTTGGTTGAAGCGCAACCTAGCGGTGTTAGAGGCACCACAATGAACAGTAACAAAAAATCTCAGGGGCCTGCGCTATCACTCTTAACATCGCAGGTTGAAGTTGCTGGGAATTTTCAGCGGGCGCTATCGAAGACTGCTCGGTGATCTCATATTAGCGTATCAAATATTGAGTGACCCCAACCACCTAAGCCGCCATTTGCTGAAAATTAGCCACAACAAGCAGCTCAGGGGTAACTGCCTAAAGGTGAAGGAACAATATAGCCTAGAGTGTCGAAGGAATTACTTTACCCTTCGTGTTTGCCAACACTGGAACGCATTTCCAGACTCAATGGTATCCTCTCCCATCTTGGACGTTTTCAACATACGATTAGATGGTGCTCTTAGCTCCCAGCATTTTATTACCTATATTCTTCTATTGTGAATTACGCCAAGCGGGATTTATGGATCAAAAGGACCCAAGTGAGCGCCCATATTTTATTTCTCTCACGCCTTATATCAAGGACCGCTGCACCCCAGTGTATTTCTGGACGTTTACGCTCGACTTTTTTAATTTTACACTGATGTTATTTGTCAAAGTATTCTTCTAGGCAGACGTTCGGTAAATCACTCAGATATATTTTGATTTCATCATATTCACCCCAACCATCCTAAGGGATGTGTCAAGCACTTGTTTTTGTGCCGTGATAAATCATTGTTCATTCCTTATTGTACTAGTACCCGGGGTGGTAACGAAATTTTTGCTCTGATTATGAGCACAACAAGCGGGTGAAGGCCAAACAACCGGATAAGTGTAAAGTGCACATAAGTTTTCGATGAAATGGAGGATCGTTTGGGACACTGAGGTAAATGTACTGAAGGTGACCACAATGGGATTAGTAAACGATGGCTGCGAAGAACGTTTGCACAGGTGTGATACTTGGCGCCAAGCTGAATTTGATCAATCAGAGCAAACTAAGCATTTTAACCTCAAGTTATCTGGAAAGTGTGAACCCTATAGTTAGTTTGGAAAAATCGACGGCGCCAGAAGTGTCGATCCCTATCAAATACTGCGCCGGGCGGGTTAATACTTGGATTAGCATCAATCAGAGATTGATGTCCCAGAGAAATCTCTTGTGAATATTTGCATGAAATCCGGTAGAAAGTGCGTGGCTTCACTCCAGAATTGTTTGGGCATGTGGAAGGGTTGTAGCGAGCAACAAGAGTTACCAAAAGCAGCAAAAAGTGGGATCTGGATACAGGACATTTGAATAAAACCGAACACAAGCTTGTCTTTTGTTGTGTATGGCAACAAGACACTTTGTTTGATGTGTAAGGAAATAGTCGCTGTTCTGACAGAACATAATATGAGGACACATTGCGATACAAAACCTAAAGCTACGTACGGCTAATTCAAGGCTCGACTTTGAGATGTAAAGTAGCTAGGTTATAAAATGTAACTAGTGGATTGAAACAGTCGTTCAACAAAAGAACAGAAGAAAAGTTGGTTAATATTAAAGCAAGCTTTGTGTTGCAACCAACCTTAGCATGACATGTAACTTTTTCTAAGGTGTTTACTGGCTGTTCCCGTGGAAACTGTTCGGATGAAAGACCGCTTCGGAAACCGTCAGCTTTCTTCGGTTGTACCAATGAACACTGAACAATGAATTTATACGGGTTAAGAAGCGTTGCTTTAAAAATCCCGTTGGATAGTTGGTGGGGATAGCAACATAACAGTAATGATGATGAGGATAGTAAAATGGTTAATGCTTTAAATATGAAAGTAAGGACTTGTCGTTTGCTTCGCTGTAGTCCTGCGATCTTCTTAGAATCACAGCACACACAGTTAACAACAAATAATTCCATGGTAAACTCCAGATGTAGGGTGGAGACGTAGTGTTAAGTAACAAAGTGTAAGTGGATGAGTGCATCGTCCAAACGTCTTTTACATCCTGTTAGTGTCGGTACAGAGACGACCGATTCTGGGAGAGCATTCCTCGGGTGACAGACACGAATGGAAAAGAAATTTCTGCGGCACTCCAGACGACTGTATTGTTCTGCGAGTTTTAATGAGTGGCCCCTAAGGTTTGTATTGCTGCTGAGTTGCATTAAAGGGCGGCAAACATGACGTGGGTCTCGCCGAATCAAGTATGCCATAATAAGGTCGCCTCGTAGTCTGAGATAGCTTCCACTGAACAATCCTGGTCGTTGCAGCCTCTCCTGGTAGGAAAGATTGCGCATTCCAATCACGTTCTTAGATGCCCGGCGTTGTGGCTGCTCCAGTGCATTAAGGTCGTGTTTCAGCCATGGATGCCAGGCTTGAATTGCGTATTCGACATGGGGGCGAACATACACACTGAGCATTTGTCGAAATATGGAGCTGTTTATTCGTCCAAACGCCCTTCGCAACAGCCCCACGTGTTGGTTCCCTGTCTTCGAGGTCTTTTCGGATTGCCTGGAGCAACCCAAGTCATGTTGAACCAGGACACGCAAGTCACGTTCGAGAGTTGCTTGTTGTAATATATTCGTTCCCAGCCAGTATGAGTAACTGCCCTGATGTCGGATGGAAATCACCTTGCATTTACTGACGTTGAAATGCAATAAGTTTTGGGTCGATCATTGATACACCGTATCTAAATCACTCTGAAGCACATGTTGGTCGGCGTTCGCCTGGATCCTGCGCCAGATCTTGATATCGTCGGCAAATTTTAAGAAGTTCGAAGCGATTCCCTGTGCAAGGCCATTACTAAACACCAAAAACAAACGCGGATCTAGAACTGAGCCTTGCGGCACACCACACTGAACTTGTATGGGGTCCGATGAAGAACTCCGAACTCCGACCACTAATTGCCGTTGAAAGAGAAAGTTGGCGATCCAGCTTAAAAGAGGGTCTCCGACCCAGTAATGCTGCAGTTTGGATAGTAGCATCCGATGGTCTAGACGATCGAAGGCCTTGGAAAAATCCACGTAGATCACATCAACACCTTCTCCAACGTCAGCTGCCTCGGTCCAACTACTGCGTGCAATGAGTAAATTAGTTGTACATGACCGCTGTCGACGGAAACCGTGCTGTTCGGGAGTGATGGCGTTGTAGCTTTCCAGATAACACACCAGCGCATCGGCAACTATGGATTCCATGACGTTGGATAGTATGAGAAGAAGGGATACTGGGCGGTAGTTGGAGGGATCAGTTCTGCTTCCACCTTTGTGAATCGGGCTTATTATTCCAAGCTTCCACATGGCGGGAACTTGGTTCTGGTCTAAGTAGCGCTGAAAAAACTGAGCTAAAGGTCCTGCCAGTTGGCTTGCTGCTGCTCCCAATGCCTCTGGACGAATGGTGTCGACACCCGGCGAGCTGTGTTTGCGTAGAGAAGTCAGCTTCTGCAATACAGCCTCTGCGGTAAAAGTGATGTGGGTTAGTCCTGGCGAGCAGAAGACAAAGCTTGGTAGATCGCTTGGTGGCAATACCCTTTGAAACGTGGGGGCGTATTGCATCTGCAGCGCATTTGCTGCTTCCACAGCCGTTCTTGTTGGGCCATCAGCCGTCTTAAGTGCAGGAATTCCTTGCCTCACCTTTCGTAGGCTATTAACGTGCTTGTACAGCAGTTCGTGGTTAGCACTGAAGGTTTTTGCGATGTTGTGCTGATAGGCGGCTTTGT